CTCTTTTTCTCTTCTCTTCTCTTCTTTTCTTTTCATATCCCTGGCCAATAAACTAAATTTTCCTTACTGGACAATAAGCATGAACTCTACTGCCCCCTGCAGGCTGAGGGCTACAGCTGTGTGTAATGGGCAAGTGCTGCCTGGAACTCTCCCGGTGACTTACTGCCACTGGACATGTGAGGAGGTTCATTTACCTGACCCTAGGAGACAACTTCTAGAGCATGAATGCCCCTCTAGCCTCTGTCTAAAAGCATGAAAAGTCTAATATGAAAAAATTTCAGTACATAGCAGCACTGTCCACAACTGCCAAATCATGGAGCAACCCTCCACGGATGAATGGATAAAAAATGGCAGAAAATGTACTTGGTGGCATACTACATTCATTTACGGACAAAATGAATGGCTATCGAGGTGATTGTGTGAATGAAATAATTCATAAAGAGAAAGATAGATATAGGATAGTTTCACTCATCTGGGGAGTATAAACAACCAAAAAACAAACGTGATCAAAATAATCACAGACCTAACACAAAAATTCAATCATTACCAGTGGGAGAAGTGGGGAAGGAAGAAGGACCTGGGAAGGAAGGTAGAAGGGCTGTTGGCTGGGGTGTGTTGGTGGAGGGTGAGTGGAACACGTGTAAAATGTAAAAATGCAAATTCAAAATTAAAATCAAATGAAAAATCAAAAAAAAATTACTCTTTAGGAGAAAAACTGGTTAAATCTGAAATGAATAGGGAAGAGAGTCCTTGTAAACTCTATGTCCCTCTTTTACTTTTAAATACAAAGTGGAACCACGATCTGAGTGGAAGACAGAGATCAACTACTTATTCAATAGTAACAAGAGCAAAATTGATGCTATTGAATGCATAAGGTATGAGCCTGGAGAGCAACTTGCGTTAAGATGACTTGAAGGAAATACAAATTACGCTGGTGGTAGAGGTTGTAGGTAGGACTTGCTTAGAGACAGGCCGCGAGTAGTAATTTTTATGGTGGATTTGGGGGTCTTCTCTTGACTACTGTCACATGCCACTTAGCAGGAGGCCTGCAGTGAAGACAGGCCCTCAGGATTGTATCACCACTGGCTTGGGTGGTGGCCGCAGAGACTGGAGACTAAGTCCCTGCTGCTGTCCACACGCGGCCACAAGAGGGCTCCCCACACCCTCGGTTTTGTGCACAGAAGCCTGTGCTTTCTTGAGCTCGCATCTGAGGGCTGTTTGCAGATTTCAGAATTAAGCGCACCCTCCCCCGTTCTATTCGGCTTAGCTACAGCTCTGGAGCTGCCCTTCCAAGGCAGAAGGAAAGCAGAGTAAAGTGAGATGTGATGAGGAGAGAGGTAAGACACCCTGATCCCGGGACAAAGGCCCTGGAGAACCCCTCCACCTCGGTGCGGATACACCAGGCGTGCTGGAGGGGGAAGTCTACAGCACTTTCTCTGTCACCAGCTGACTCAGATCCTAGTAAAAAACACTACTGTAAACATACAGGAAAGGATCTAGCTGGTGGTTCGTTGAGAGGATTTTTAGGATGAACAGAGATCAGAAATTGAAAACAAAGTTTATAGATAATAAAATAGAATCTTCTATATCATAGAAAAGCTGAGGCATAATGGAACTGGGCAAGGCACATTTACCAGTACTGGGACTGGAGGTTGGTTAACTGTGCTAAGGAAAGTCCAAAGGGAAAAGCTTTTGTTTTTCATTATTTCACATTTGTTTTCATTATTTCACATTTGTTTGAGAGACCATAATTATGTTAGGAATTGATAGAATGTAAGAGTGGGAGGAAAGTGCACCAAGTTCAGGAGAGTTGTCAGCGCTGTCTTCAGAATATTTGAACAATGTGCATTTTTTCATTCAGTTTTCTATTGTCATGAAAACTTCCATAAGCTAAAATGATGTCAACTGAAGAAAATTTCCATGATTTTTTATCAAAAATTGTGATCATCCACACATTCCAAAAATAACCTACCAAATTATGCTAAAAGTGGCAATAACATGTAATAGAATTGGGACTGTGGATTCACAGCCTGAAGTAGCCCCAGGGAAGGAACTTGCTAGACCACATTCGAAGCTCAGATTGCCCACTGCCTCCAGAACAGTAACAGAAAGCCCAATTCTGGTCATTAGTTTTGCTTCTTGCCTTTTGTAGCAAACGCAAAATTTCTCCTTATAGTCTAAAAACAAGCACTGAGGGAGAATGCCGAAAAATGAAATAGTGGAACGGGAACTTTCAAAAAGTAGAGGATACATGCAAGAAAGTGCATACAAGAGCATAGACGTAACTGCCTAGTTCTATTCTGACTCAACAGGGCTAATTTCTCAAACCTGATTCTCCCTCTCAGCTTGTTCCTATCTATCCATGAACACCTTATACCCATGCTTTACCTTGATTTCTTATATTTTGTGGTTATTATAACTGAGAGAAAAAGTCTCCTTTTACTCCTCAAAATAGGGTGGGAATCTCTTGCTTGTTCAGGTTTATCTTTATCTAATTATTGTCATTTGTCTATGAGGATGCCAAAATCCAAGTTACTGTGATTTCAGAGATGAAAAATTCTGTCAATTTTGGGGCGTCGTTAGGAAGTGGTAGCTTGGCAGATGGGCAAAGTTAAAAAGACATACCACTCAACTATTCTGATATTTTGATATTTAATCTAACCATTTGGACTGTGGTAGGCCCCCAATTCACTTTTAGGGGTATAAGAAAGATGATTTTTCCCCCGTCAATTATAAGGGTCACCAAAAATGTAAAAAAGCTGTAAAAAAAAAAAAATCAGGGTAGAGCTTAGGTTTACACAGATAAATGTGGAGAAGCTGAGAGGGGGAATTAAGTTTTGAAAAATCATCAAAATGGAGAATGACTGGTCCCCTGCAAGAGAAAGGTATCCAGCTACAAGGGATGTTTTCTGATTGGTGATTGAGAAGAGTAAATGTTTCTGCATTCTCCCCTTCTCACTCCCACCTCTCTTACCTCTTCTCTTCTTGCGAGTTTCTTCTGACCCTCTGCTTTTTAAAATGTAAAAAAGCTATCTCTTACAAGGTGCTCTTTGGGGCAAAATAGGAAACTCTAGGCTTCGGTGCTGCCTCTGCGCGGCCTCAGGCCTGTGGTGGAGATGACCGGCGGTTCTCTGGCGTGCTGGTGGTTGTGGGGCGGGCACGGGCCGTGGGAGAGCGGATTGGCTCATTGGTCAAGTGGTTGGTGGATACTTTTGGACTCAGATGTGTTATGGAGGGAATGCAGGGCTGATGACTCCCATTAAAAAAAAATATATTCATTATATCATTCTTTATTTTTTGGAGAATGTATGGTTTCCACCACAATTCCCTCTGCACCACCACCGTGTTCCCTTGTCTTCTTCCCACCCGTGTCCTGTCCTTCTCCCTCCTCCTCCCCTACAGAGTGTCTTTGATCTGTAATTTACATTTGAGAGGGAGAAAGGATTCAGCTCAGATGTTTTGGTGATGGTGCGGCTGTGCACTTCCGAGGAGGTGTGCCGCTGCACCTTCAACCGCATAGAGTGATGCAAACCTACTTTACCTCAAAAACCCGTAAAAAATATAAAACAGAAAAGAAAAAAACAAAGCAAAACAGAGATATTAACAGTGGCCTAGCAACAAAAATATAAGCATGAGCAGAGAAAGCCAGTAGCTCCCCGCCAATTTTACCTCAAAAACTCGTAAAAAATATAAAACAGAAAAGAAAAAAACAAAACAAAACAAAACAGAACATACTAACAGTGGCCTAGCAGCAAAAATATAAGCATGAGCAGAGAAAGCCAGTAGCTCCCCGCCAATGAGGGGCTATTGGTAACACCGTGGGGTCAGAAACACGATTTTAAAGCGCTGAGGAATGAACAGATGGTGGAGGAATGAGGCAGTGAATGTAGGCTGTTTGCACAAACTACTTGAAATGGAGGTGGCAACGAGACATTCCAGATGGACAGCGAACTTCTTTTTTATCAGGGAGGCCTGGACTTCATGTCTACAGATGGTCTTTGCACCAGCGACACACAAAGACAACACCAGTGATTTGTGTTTTTTACATAAGCCAATAAAAAAGTCATTATCTTGGTTTAGATGGTTAGGATTTTATTAAAAATAAATAAAATGAAAACAAACATTTGTTATATTTCAAACACATCCAGGAATGTTTATGCTACACAATGTTCTTCCAGCTACTTTTTTTTTTTTTTTTTAATCTCTCTGCTTCCTTCCAATCCAGAGAACTCAAGAGTTGTGTTCTCTGATACAAATGATGAAGGAAGACTTCCAGTTCCTCCTGCCTCAGCTCCTTTTGGTGTCATTTTCAGGACCATTGTATTAAGGTAATTCTTCTCTGGGCAGAGGTTTAAAATAAACAGCAATTTGATTTCTTTCTTAACAGTCAACCCAGAAAGGAAGTCTATTCTGCCCAAGACCCTCTCCTTCCCCATGAAAAATAGTTGCCTGCTAAGAGTGCTCCTCCTGTCAATTCTAATTGTTTTTTTAAAAGATTTATTTATGCATACAGGGCCCTCCCTGGTGGCACAGCGGGTTGGAACACAGCACTAAGAAGCTTAAGCCACTTCCGCATGAGTTCGATTCCCGCCTGCCCCGGAGGTGACCACATGGCAAGGCAGACCTCTCCTGACCCGCCCGCTGCCCCCCTCGTGTGCTTCCTCGATCTGCATGGTCTGCTCCCCACTCTGTCCCTGGTGAATCCTCTCACCCTCCGCATCTCTGGCCTATACCCCAGTTCTGTATGCATACATAAATCTTAAAAAGAAAAAAAAAAGATTTATGTATGCATATAGAACTGGGGTACAAGCCAGAGGTTCAGGGGCAGTGAGAGGCTTCACCAGAGACAGAGCAGGGATCAGAACAGGCAGATTGATGAAGTACACTGCTGAGGGGAACAGTGAGTGAGACAAGAGAGGTCTGCTGGGCCCTGTGAGTTAGCTCCCTGGGCTGGGATTGAACTCAGGTCTTTGCGGAAGGTCTTCATGTTGGGAGCAGTGGACAGGTCAGGAGAGGTCTGCCGTGCCACGTGGGTCACCTCTGGGACCCTGGATCGAACTCTCAATGAAGCAACTGTGGCCAACTTGCAGTGCTGTGTCCTAACCTGTTGTGCCACCAGAAAGGGCCCTAATTATTTTTGTTTGTTTGTTTGTTTTACAGGGATTATGGAGAGAAGAGTGGAGACTGGAAGGTAAGATGACATAAGGTGGGGCCAGTTAAGTAAAAGTACGAGTTAACTAGTATAGGGTCGGTGGGAGAACAGTTTTCTCAGGTTGTTTTTCAACATAAACTTCCAGCACAGGTGGACTAGTAGATACATAGCTTTGAGATGCCCATAACATGTGGGGAAAGCAGTAAATAATGTTTGTGCAAAACATACTTCTGTAAACTAGGCCTAAAATTGGTACTGTGCTGAGTTTGTCTATAAAACATATAAAAGCTAATAGGGCTCCTCCAGGTAAGCCTCTCATGGCCAGTTGTGTCTCATGGCCAGTTGTGTCTCATGGCCAGTTGTGTCTTGTGGGGCTGCTGCTGTTGCTACCTGTGTAACTCCTGCTCTCTCATAAGGACTTACTACTTCTCCCAACATATGGGCTTTGTGACCGGATTTCTGCCACCATCAAGAACTGGGCAAGCTGGTAGTTGAGAATAGGTCAGGGAGGTGAGAACAAAGAGAGGGTCCAAAATGACAGGGAGAGATGCTGACTAGTAAAGCCAGTCAAACAAAAGGAGTCAATAACAAAAGGGAGTTCTTGGGATGAAGTAACCATGGGAGTCATCAAGAGGGAAGTGAAGAGGTACAAGAATTTACATCAGAAATGAAGGAAAGTCATCCCCTCTGAGGTGACACTGGTAGAAACGTAGATTGGTCCTGGCAGGATGGGGACCCTGCGATGACAGAAATGCCAGCAAAGGTGAAGATATTAAAAGTGTCTGTTCTACTCAGTATTCCTACTGAACTGTTCTGATGAGGAAAATGAGTTTACACAGCTAGTATGGAGGACCATTTAAGAACTTTAGCTGAGTTCAATAAAAAGGTCAATATAATTTAGAAGAGCACTAAGAGCCCTGGTAAATTTAGTGTTACTTTGTGGTAGCTCACTTGAAAAGGACCTTGGAGTCAGTCACAAGCAGAAAGTGATACTGTGAAGTTTGGATGTGATTAGCGTGGTAGAACCCAGCTGGCAAGTCCAGGGCAGAATAAGGAAGTTAGACTTAGAGTTCTAAATTGAGACTTATTATAGAGTATAAAGTGATAGTAAAAGTTTCACAAGGTAAAAGGTCAATATATGAATGCAGGTTCTATCAGAAAAAATAAAATAGGCAGAAATGGGAAATTATGAAGGAGAAGAGGTGAAGATTATGGCAGAAACAGTCATAAAGCTAAGTTTCACTTCAAATTCTTTAAAGGAAGTCATTTCTAATCGAATGCTTTTAAGGTGTTTAAGACTTGCTGAAAGGGATGGGATGGAGTTGAGTCTCACTGATCTTTAAGGAAATCTGATATGTATGAGACTAAAAATGTGTATTTGTATTGCTTTAAAGAGGTGCTAAAACATAACATGTTAGGAGGATGAAACCTTCATTCTTAGTTCCTTCAATATATGGATATTTGTAGGGTCAAAATTCTACTTGAATACATATTCCTTCCATTCACCAAAAAATGATGATTGTATTTATCCTTGTATACTTTCAACACCTTTTCTAACTTACTACATTGTCAATTTTGTGTGTTACAAAAATAAATATTTTTTTAGTTTAAAAATTGACTCCTAGTGCCAGCAACTTGGTCAGGGTGAAAAAGGGACATTACCAGTCTGTGTCTTTAGAAGGCAAACTTTTAACAATATCAATAGACAATTTTCCTTTGAGTTCATGTTTTCCAACACTATCATGGTTCTCTTAAATTTATGAAAAATAAATATCAGATAATAACGTTGCCATCCTGATACTTTGTGAAGTGAATTTTATCCACTTCATGAGATAATTGCAAGAGGGGATAAATTGACAGAGGTCAGTTATTTTTATACAGCTTGGCTTTAGGATTAAAGGCACTTGAGTTTGAGTTCTATGGCTACATAAGTTTTGCATACAGCCCTAGATAAATCAAACTCTTTAACCATAGATTATCCCCCTATGAAATGACAAAAATACTTATTTTGCTTATATCTTTCTTATTTCATTAAGACTACAGGTAAATGATGCAAAAGTCTTTGAAAAATATAGTATTGAACAGATGTATGGAGTTTTTTAATGGGAAGCAGAATTATGCCTTTATAAAATAATTTGTAGTCATTAAAAAAATCACACCTATTTATTAGACTGGATGCATATTGCCAAATGGCAAATGCAAGCTGCATCGATGTTTAGCCTACCAATGAGCCAACTACTTGTGGGGTTCCTTAACAGCATTTAAGTCTTCATCATAGCATTTTTTTTCTGAATAATCTATAGCCCCTAACAAATTTAACAAAGAAATTTAAATTGGTTATTTGGTAACATGCCAGTTATATTCAGCCTTTAAAAATCGCCCAAGTCCCTAATCCACTTTCCTTAAGATAAAGATACTTTATGACAAATGAAGAATCATTGAGAAGAAGAAAATTATATAATATGCTACATTAGCTAACAAGGGCCAGTAAGCAGCTTGGTTAGACGCAATCCTTCCCCCACAGGATGCTAGGCTTTACTAGCCACTGCTCTCCATGGAATGACTCTTGATCTTCTGTGAGAATACTGTCAAAATGGCCAGAGAAATTTGTGTAAATATACAAGACTCACATCTACCGCAAGCCTACATTGAAGCTCACAAGTATTCATTTTTGAAAATAACCACATACACACACACACACAAACCCTCAAAATATTGTATTTTTATTCATTGACATTATGGTTCCTTAAATCAAGAGATGAAAGAAGCAGTCCTTGGTAACTCAATGAAAATGAAATGCAGACTTCTCAAAATTAGCATTAGAGGTGGCAGTGAAAAAGATTATACAACATAAAGTGAAAAGCATTTGCACAATTAGTCTTGACAGGAGCAGGGCACTGAATACCAGGCAGCCCGAGAGCTCCCTCTCCCTTTTTCCACCACAGGTCCCTGGTCAGGGGGTGGCCAAAGGTCCCTAGTCAGGGGATGGTATCTTTTTCATGGGGTGTACTAGTAAAACTAAAGGTGTTAAATTACAAGTCACTTATAATTTTACACTTCTGGATTAAATCTACACAATTGAACAACATATTTTGATGTGTTTTGAACAAAGACTAATTTCCTTTGTTCTCTAAATAGCAGAACTAAAACAACAGCCTCCTCACCCTTAAAAATACATCAAAGGCCAGAGCTTACAAAACAGGCAGCTTTTCTAAATACTGGTGAAATGTTAGAAAGCCCAATATCAAGTAAAAGCAAAATATATCTAAGTATAAAAGTAGAAATACACCAAATTTTAGCACATTCAGAGGTCTTGATCTTTGTGCTCGCAAAGTATCTCCTCAGTGCTGTAGATTTTTTGATGAACTCTCTGCTTGAAAGAAGAAAATTGGAAGCTATGTTACCATAAGTTATAAATCTTCTGTTATATATATTATGTTACCCAAAATTTATGGAATTCGCATTATTTCGGCGGCCATACTGTGCGAGACACCACATCTGTTATTCCCTTTTACAAGTAAGAAGACTAATCAGGTCCTTTGTTTAAAGTCCCATAGCTAGGTTTTGGTAAAAACTCTAAAAAAAAAAAATTGAAGTTTCTGAATCCTTTCTTTCCATGATACTAAACAGTAAGTTGAATACAATGGCAGGCACATGCACCAACTTTTCAAGACTCTAGAGTTGAGTGGCTATTTCTTGAGCTACTGTGCCTCTGATCGCTATGACAGAATTATTTCCCTCAAGTGGATTTACAGCCGGGTTCACACTGTGACCTGGTACTTGGCAAATGAATGAGTGATACTCCTTGTCTTTTGACCTAAGTAGTCATTTACTGAGGATATGATGCTAGGTGGTGTTTGAATCAATTGTTCTCTTTATGACTTCTCCACAGGTTTCATTTCTGAAAAAAATTAGGAAAAAGTAGGAACAACTGCACTTCTATATTGTTTCTCTTGCGTCTCCTACTTATGATTTTATTTTATTTTTTGTAACATTTTTTAGATTTGGGGAAAATTTTTGTACCTGAACAAAAGTCATATTTAGAGCAACTGGGCTTTCCCAAACTCATGTTGGATTGTGCAGTATGTGGGTTATAGCTTTTAAAGCAATAAAATAGTCAAATTGTGTAGTGTCTTCTTAAATGTTATGGATTTTCTGACTAATTGCAAATGACAACCCTCAGCTCATAGACAAGAATAAAATTTGTTCCTCATTCAAGGCTTTCTTTTAATAAACTTTCTTTCTCATCTTAGTTTATACTGAATTCATTATTACTTTGCAGAAGTATATACTATTTTTAATATACTTTAGCCACTCTCATCGCACAGCTGACAAAGTAACCATTTTTCTCATTCACTTGTTAGAATACACATTACTCTGAGTTATGTACATTCATAATGGTCACTTTTTCTGAGATTCAATCATTTTTAAAATGCAAAATAATGTCTATTATTCAATTGAATTCAGTGTCACATTTTTCTCACCTGAAATAGAAATGAAAACATATCTGAAGAGCAAAGAAGGAAAGAAAGTTCTTACGTGATATAGCCTGAGTGTCTCCACAGTCACCTCCAAGTTTTAATTTACAGGTGCTGGCCTCACAGCAACGATTGGTGCATTCCTTTAAATACACACATAAAGGAAAGTGGTTCAGCATTTTCTTCCTACAGACCAGGTCACAGAATTGTGGCCCATAAAAGCAATGAAATTTCACCTTTGCATCTAAATTTTTCTGCTTTATAAATCCCATTGGAAATTACCAAAGAAACTTAATAACAGGGGGAAAAATGTGTTAAGAATAATAAAAGCCAAAAAAAAAAAAAAAAAGAATGAAAGCCTACCCTTAAAAGGCCAAAAATAGATTATTTAATAATTGTCCCAAATAATTCTGGTCTAGATGGTACTTTTCTCTCTCTTTCTCTCTCTCTCTCTCACACACACACACACACACACACATAGAGTTTCAAATTATAAGGGAGGATATTGCTATACTATTCAAACTATTGACAATAGAAAAAGAAATTATAACTCCATTTTATTTTACTAAGCCTGTGTAGTGCTCATAATGAGAATTCATAATGGCATTTATTAAAACAAATGCTAAATTTTGAATAAAATGTTAGTAAAATGAGTTTATTAATATAATAATTCTCTTTTATGATTATACAAGGTTTTAATACCAAAATGCAAGGTTAGAATGACTGTACAGTATAAAGTAATGTTATCCATCACATCCAGAGACTGAGCAGAAAAACAGCTAGTATGATTGTGATAGATGGCAAAAATAAGTTGGTGAGAATTCAGTAGCCCTTTTTAAATTAGTTAAGCAAATATAAGTCAACTATGAACAGAATTATACATAATCATGATAAGGAAAACCTATCTGATGGAGCACTAAAATATATCCAATAAAATAAAGCATAAGGATTATCTATAGTTTCTAGTTTTATGAAAATTCTGACAAATGCTTTGAGATAAAAAAGATAAAATATGATAATTGAAAAGTATAAATCAGATTTCATTATTTTGTGCAATAAAAATTTTTGCCTATGAAAAGCCGAGAATGAGCCCCCCAAATATAAAAATACCCCTGGCTAAGAGGGATACTTAGGGCTAGGGTGGGGAACTCTTGGTGCTTTGGTGGAAGGTGAGCTAAAGCAACATATACTTGAAGAGGTGTGAACCTGTACCTCCAAATGACACAGTGTTGGAAAACGATGTTACCTCAATAAAAAGAATACAAAAATAGCAGCAAATTAGAATCTAAAATTTATGTATATTTTAAAAATATACACAACAAAAAAGGAAAAGTGAAAAATTCAAAAAACCAAAATTTATAAAAAGTTTTAAAGGCAACTTGTATTTGAAAATACTGACTTTTGCAAAAATGTCATTGATCTACAGAATAAAATATGAATTAAATACCTGTTAATCAGAATCTTATTTTATTTGAGGTCAAGCTGACAAAAAAAATGTCAGGAATTATATGAAAGAATGAACACAAAAGAGTTACTCTTTTGTTGTCAACTCTGCAAGAAAACAAAACGAGACTTGCTATTAAAAATACTAAAAGACATCATATAGCTAAATCAATAAAAGAGCATGATACTTGAGTGATAATATATAGACACATGAAATAAATTTTTAATCTATAAAAATGCCAGCTATATACCTAAGAGTAATAAAATGGAGTATGGATCTTGGGGAGCTGGATTATTCACTAAAGGTTATCATACGAACTATATATGCTACCTTTCAAATAAGGGAACAGCTATTTAAAAATCCATTTATTTCATAGCCTGAACTCTTGTTTTATGTCACTACTTGTAACAATCTTTTAGATTGTTAGCAAACATTCTTTCAGAAACAATTTTAGAATATATTGATGCCTTAAAAGTTAGCAGAATTAAAAAGTCAGCAGAATTATAATAATGACTTTAGATGTCATATATGAATAATCTATTTAATATAATTTATATGATTTTTCTTTCTTCTCCCGTTTTACTTACTATTTGTTTACACTTAGTTCAGTGAGAAAAGGCCAATTCTTTTTTTTTTTTTATTTTATAACAGTTTATTTTACATTTTTACATTTTTTTACCCCATCTCAATTGTAATCCCCGCGGGCTTCCCATCACCAAGTCACCCATGTGCCATCACCATAATCCCGTGCACTTCCCCCCCCCCTTTTGATCCCATTCCCCACTCCACACCCACAAAATGTCTCTGGTATATGGCTGTTCATTATTCTTGTTATGAGAAAAGGCCAATTCTATGGAGAAAACTTACTTCTGGATCTGCAATTATTACTGTTAAACAAATGATCAATTGTGGTTTTTATGCGATTTATGTATTCCTGACTAATATATCTGGGAATGATCATAAGTAATATGATAGAGTTAATGATTTACTTCTTTCCATTGATGTCCATACCATCATGTTATAAGTGTATCCTGTATTCATATCAAACTTGGCCCTAAAAAATGTATTTCCAAAAGAACATTTTTTAAAAGGAAAAGATAACGGCATAATTCTTGTGCCACATTAACTCTGCACTATTTTTTTTAGCCTTGTATGTTTTCATACCTTCAGAGAGCCACAATCACACTCTTCTCCTAGCTCCAGAAGTTTGTTCCCACACATTGGATTTGTTAATATGTTTTGTGGAATTGGTGCTTGCAGCAGGCACTTTGGTCTTTTAGATAAAATGAATTTTTCAAAATGTGAGCGGCTGGTTGTACTGAAACCTTTTGGGAATTTTGAACTGCAACCAGAAGAAAAACCAGAAATGTTATGATTACAATGATAAATGCATTTGAGAATCTGATCTATTTAAATATATTCTTGGCTTAACTGAAATCCCCAATTTATTATTTGTTCAGCACTGCAGTGTGGTAGAGGTAGAGGGCAATGGACTCACATACTATGCTCATTGGAAAGCTGTTTTCCTAGATACTCAAGTGTAGAGCTGGAAGATTTCAATTCCCTGTGGATTAAGCACTCTCCTAAAGGGCAGAGTGAGGATATTTGCCACTTATAATTCATTAATCTCAACAAAAGGGTTTGAGAAGAGAAATAGCAATGAACTTGTGAAAGGAAGTTAAGAGTTCTATGCACATATCTAGCCACAAGCACTTTAAGAGCAATGGATGATTTTATTCAGTTTTCCATCCCAAGTCCTTGCCAAGTGCCGGGTGTCAGGAAGTACTAAGTAATTACATACTACTGATTGATCAACTGGTGGTGGAGATATATAGAACATATTAAATATACAGATTTAGAGACTGTAGTTTTCTGGAAGCAATTAAAATAATTGCAAAAGAATTATTTTAAATTAAGATGGCATGATCACTGATCTGATGCTCTATGTTGGCATATTTGGAAATCTTAATGAGCTCTGATAACAAGGAATCTATACAGCAAAATGGTGGAGGATGAAGAGACACCCTTGTGCTCTTCCAACTATATGGACTGCATCTAAAGTCCTTAAGGGTTTAGAAATTATTCCCCCAGGTGACAGGGTCTCACCTCACATATTGGCTCATCACACAACTCCCAAAGGGACATGGAGTGTTAAATGGAACATCAACCATGCCAAGGACATGGCCCAACTCGTGTGACATCACTGCTACAAGAGCCACATTATTCATTCCCTTCGCCTGCCAAAAAATAGAAGAAACACCTATTACTTATTTCTTAATTGTTGCCAAGGTTGAATGCTTTAAAAAAGATTTTACAGATGAAAAATAATGAATTATTAGACCTGTCACTGACTTTTTGTACACTGTTGAATTAACCTTTGAAATGGTTGTTCCTGTGAATGCAACTATTGAGTCAATATTCAATTTTTGTTGAATTATTGATATATTCTTGGAAAACCATGTTAAAATAAGGCAATTATATTCTTCATAGGGAGTACTAACAGGAACCATACTGCACACTCAATAGTCTTCAAAAGTTACTGTCATGGTACTTATGACATTAGTTGTGCTTGTCCATATGACAACAATATACTCCTTGTCCAAGCTCATTGGTCATCAATACTGGGGATGATAGATTTAATGTTGACACAGGACACTTGGATTCCCTTTCTGTCCCAATCTTCCTGTTCTTACTCTGTAACACCAACTCAGGAGTAAAAGAGCTACTCTATTTCATAATTCCAGGGCTCTTCCGAGCATGGATCTCTCAGTAGTTTGACCTCTCTTTATTGGCAAACTCCATATGAGACATTACTTGAATCTTCAAGAAGGGCACAGAACCACAAGGAACTGTACATACCCCAATGACGACAACTGAAGACGAGGTACACAAAGAACTTGAGGATGCCATTCCCACACGTCGAGCACTGAAGTTAATTCCACTATGTGAAAGTTGCAGATCATGGTCACAATCCAAGTCTTTGGAACCACTATTTTTATTATGTTTTTGATTTCCCTGTTGTCCTAGACTTTTCTAACCACTAGCCCCCCCCCCAAAAGCTTCTGTTATCCATTAAAATATTCACAAATAGTTATTCTACACCCAGGAGTCCATATTATTGACCTCATACAGGTTTCTAGTAACCTCATAGGTGAATTGCTAATGGTAGAGATTCAGGCTATCTGAAAAATAACTGGGGAGATGTAACTGAACAGAAATCCTTGTCAAGAAACCTTTGGGATAACTTACACTGCTCACAATACCTGGCCTGGCCACCCACCAAGTGCTCACCTCAGTAACTGAGCATAGTCATGGATCTTCTTTTTCTCTGTCTTAGAACGATGCCAGTTCAGAAAGTTGGTAAAAGTGACATGTGTCTCAGGTGCCACCTTTATCTTGTCACCATCAGACCAGATTTCCAAGCCTACCAAGACCACTTGAACATTTATGGTTTTGTAAATCTGTGGAAATAGTATTGTTCATTCATTAATACGTTGAAGTTTTCTTTATTGTTTTAGATACTTTGCTAACCATAAATGATGGAGAATGTATCCTATTTTTTGAAACAGAAACTAGAAGTTGTCTTTACTGCAATATATACTGTTTTACTTTGTTTATTCTCCTCTACTAAATTTCTCAGAATGCTGACCTTTGTTATCCTCTCAAGCCCTTATTTGGTGAAACCACAGAGAAGCTCCCACTCTGTGTGGAAACAGGTTTATATAACTTGTATGTTTGGATAAGTTAATGCTTACGTATGTCATGTGTTTACATAACTTACCACATTGAGTAGGTTCATCACATCAAACACAAAGCTTCTTATCACAGTTAGATTTCCACTATATGCTTTATACTACAAAACATCAAATACAAAATGTACTTAATTAAAATTAATGAAAGTTGATGGGGCACAGAATTTCACATTTTAAGAAGTTTACAGGTTTCCATGCAAATAAGCACATTCATTCCCAACCAATATTACATATATAAGACTATTTGTCTCAACAAATTCTATTTCAAGTATAAGGACTTCTTGGCCACAGAAAATTCAGGTACTCATAAACTTTAAAAGTTAGTCATTTTTTAAATGTAATAAAGTGAAATAATTTCATGTTTTCCAATCAGTTCATTATTAATATTTTATTATAAATCATATTTACTATTTGGAACCACAGGTTCTGGTATTTCTGTATATATAAAATAGAATTTATAAGTCATATATAGTTTTTAAGCTACTTTATATTGCTATAATAGAATTTTAAAATAATCTAATAATTCATTATTTTTTGTTTTTCATTATCATAAAAGTCTCCATATATTAACTATATTGTCACTGGTCATATATATAATGTTGGACATTATCGTAGCAGATAGAAATTAAAGGTAGACAATGTGTAAAAACTATTCCTAAGTAGACAGATGGAAAGGCAATCAGATAATCAGGTGGACACTCTATTTTCAGCAATAATAGTTTATTGTCTGTGTTTTCTTGATAAGAAAACTTAGAAGTTGAATGAACTAGCCAAGGAGGCATGTTTCATACTCACAAAGGCATTGTCCAGCACCAAAAAGAGATCAATATATTTGTCAGCCCGAAGAAATTCTTCCTGCTTCATAAAGAACAAAGAACATTGTTAGTAATCACCTTTATCTTAAACCATTAAAAAATTTAGAAAGATATTTTTTCTTCTCACAGGAAAATGAAATTGAACGTAAATCAATAATTCACAGGCTCATCACAGGCCTTCATGGCTGGGCACGCTGGCACATCTTCTGTCATTAGGGAGACACGTGATACACAGAGCAACTGAGGAAACGACACTTACCTCTGGTCTCTTGGGTGACCTTGAGTTTCGAATAAGGCCTTTAGTCCTGCCCAAACTTCTCATACCACAGGTGTAATTTGCAAGGTCAACAACTTCTTCCTGGTCTTGTGTGAAGACAGCATGTTCTTCTTGGTCAGAGCTTTTCAGGGGCCTTATGCTGTATGTTTGATCATGATGTGTGAAATACCCCCTGTGAGACCACAGATTCGTGGTGAAGGATTCCTTGCCAGACTGTCATTTCTACTGACCAGAATGGAGTGGTGCCTTTTTCAGCCCTAAACTCGTATGTACATTCATGGGCCTTTTAGTTAATTTCTTCTCACTTAAGTTATAATCAGTATTTGTCAGTATTAAAATGAAGCCTCTATTATCTATCTATGAGACTATGGTCAAGAATTGTTAGAAGAAGCTATCTTACATATTTAGGATAAACCTTATGAAAGATATTTGTGTAAAAGACTACAAACAGGATCAAACTCTAATAGTAGTGATCACTCAAAGGTCATTTTCTATCATAGTTATTTTCTTTTGTGTTTTTTTTTTAAATTTCCCTAAAGCCAAGAATTATCATTGTAACAGAATCACACATACACACACACACACACACACACACAGCCTCTACACACATACTTACTTCAAAAAAGTTATGTCCAACTGTGATAACTGCAGGATAGAATATTTAAGAAAATAAAACAGAGTGGTTTTCAGCGAGTAAGGTGGATAAGCATGGAAATAGATCCAGAGGTCAGCAAAATCCAATGTACAGCATCTTAGGAAAACATTATTAGGACTGACTTCTACTAGACCAACAGATTATGAAATGGCCATAAGAAGTGAAAATTTATTCTTCCCTTTGACCATACAAATTCAGTATTTTAGTGCTAAAATTTTACCAAGCTAGTAAGAATACATGTCCAGAAGACTCAATGGTGTGTAACAAAGTGGTATTGAATGTTTATTACTTCTGTGTAAGGCTCTCACCTCAAACCATCACAAGTATTAATGCTAGCAACAGACTCCTTCTCATTTAAGATGTGTCCTTTATAGAAGCAGTGCTCCTAAGGTTGAAAAAGAGAAATCATGCATTAGAAAAAATATATATATTTTTTAACTACAAGGATACATGTATAACAGCGGTAGTGATGAAACTGGAGATCCCCTTCCTCAAGGCTCAGGCATCTGGTTTCAGAAACTGCTTGTGGGCAGTGCAAGTGGCAGCAAGTGGTTGGTATTTTACTACCCTCCACCGGAGGCTCCACTGGGGCTGCAAATGCAAGGTTGCCCTGCACTGGAGCAAGCCCTGGCAGAGGAGGCAACAGCCTGTGTCAGGACTGCAGGAAGGAGCATGGTGCCCACAGGGCCAGCTCTAGTCTCCAGCTCCCTCCAACTGCAGGCCATAGAGAGGCCCATGGATTTGGCACCTGGATCATGGAATGGACCCATCAGTTGTGAGTCTCAGTAAATGGCGTATGGGTTGATGGTAAATGGTACAATCAGCCTGAGGGTTGAAATGGCCCAATCTGGCCTGAACGTGGGAGACCTGGGAGAGGAGATAAGATGGGGCAGTAGCCAGCTTGGAGACACTGGCCTTGGAAGAGAGACTGTCCTTTGGCCAGCCAGAGCCCTGCTATAGTCTCTCTGTAGCTCTGTTCAAGTGAGAGCTTTTATCCTGAATATAATGGAGCATTTTTCTAGTAGTGGCCGAGGTCCAGTTCCCAGAAACAAAAACAATGTGAACCTCAGAGGCTTCAGGAATTGATCTACCACTGACCCTGAAGCCTACCGGGTTGCAAGACTGAGGGGTCTTTCTGACATGGTGATGTTTTCATCTATTATCTCCACAGTCATAGATAAGCATCATGTTTCCAAGTCTTTAAACATTCTTGTGAAGTTTCCTCTGCACATCTGAAAAAGCACATGGCAACCCAAAGTGTTCCAGAAAGCATTGTGGACTTACCGTGTTCCTAGGCCTTGTTGTTATTTTTTGTCCACTTGGTGAGAAATATGTTTCAGTGTAGTCTGGGCCCATGATATTGCTGTAAAGAACACAGAATTGCATGATTAACTCAGAATGGCAAAAAGGGTTAATAGTGCTAACATGCTCATCAGGACTAAACAAATGCCACATTTGATAGTGAGAAATGGACATGCTGAGTAGCTCATTGTTGCCCAGCCTGGATCTCTGCAGCTGAAACAAATCAAAGCATTAACTACACTTATTGGATCTGAGGGACAAAATGCCCTCTATGACTTTTATCTTCAGAAGGGTTATTTTGGGAGTCTTTGCACTAAGGACACAGTTCTCACAGAATCTCTCAAGGGTACTGGGTGATAAATATGTATTAACAACTGCTGCATTCAGGGAGCAGTTGACTGACTGAAATAGAACTTGGGAGAGTCTGCACCCTGAGATCTGTCTCAGGGCTGAAGGAATCTTGCAAGTGTGTTCTCATAATACAATAGGAAAAGCAGGTCAAAAGTTTGAGTTTATTTGAATAGAAAAAGATCTTCAGTAAATTCTGAGACATAAAGAAAATCATTTATGATATTTGTTTTTCTCTTTGTTTTACACTTTATAAATAATTTCCTAGGGAGCATGAATCTTCTTACAGCACATCAACAAAGACTAATAACATCTAAACCCAATGTTTCATGTCTTATGTCTCAAATATCAATAATAAGAGCCTTAAGAGCATTCATTTTTGTACATATTCTTAAAATATTCCAGTGATTGGACTCTGAAGTACAACTTACTTGGTTTTTTGTAAATGAAGAATGACTTCTTCTCCATTTAATGTAATCTGATACTGAAGTTCAGAATCATCTCTTTCCTAAAATTATTGTATAATGAAATCAATTTATGAGTCTATCTGAATCAATTACAATGATAAATACAGCTTATACAGAATTATGCATATAGGGTAAAAAGTTATCTCACATATTTAAAATATGTAAAATCAAACATACATTTTACATTAAGTTGTCTACAAATTACAATAATGCAGTAGCAACACAGTTTAACAAACCGGAACATGTGTGACAGGGACTCAGCTTTTTCTTTAGTATACCAGCCTCTGTTACCTAATGAGCCACTAATAAGATAATATTAAGGTATATATTTCCCTACTTAAATAACCAAATATACTAAAGAAAACCAGCCAAAAACCTTCTAAGAATTAAATAAGGTTGAAATTATGAAGTGATGAAAATACTATTACAGTCAAAGGCTTAATACCTATGCCCTTAAAAAGTTCATATTACTAAATAATGTTGGGTTTCTACATTATAGACAAAATGACAAAGGAAAGGACAACTCACTGGGGGCATGGCGTGAGGTAGGGGTAAGACATGGTTGAGTGAGTTTGTCAAGGAGTACTCCTTCTAGAAATGGCTGCCTGACCTGTGTTTTTACCCTCTCCCACCTAAAAACTTAATATTCATTATGCTGTGTCCTTTCTGCGCTAGGAGGCCACTCACTGTCTTATCTTCTGATGACTTTCAGAATTTTCTACGAAATCTGCTTTCTCCTGAACCTACCAGAGCTGTTACAAATGGTCTTCAAGATTAAACTACTAGACATAGATTGTGACACCCCTTCTGTATGGATGAAAATCTGTCTCTTTTAATGATGCAAAATCTACCACAGTCATTCACATGACTTACCTCTTTGCCATGGCTTTCTGTTTGGGTGTTTTGTATATCTCTTTTGTGCAAAATATGCAGTCTTTTAGGATGAACGACTTCATAGTGCACCTGTTCAGATGTTTCCTTTATGGCTGTGACTAGAGAAAGTGAAATAATGTTTTTTTAATAAGATAATTAAAAGTTATTATTTTGGTAAAATGGATTTGTTGAATTTGTGTGGAAGCCTGAATTTCTGTTGAGAGTAAACTTTGAGAACAAGCTATATCTTTTGCTTTAGCTTCAGTAACAAATAATTCCTATTTAGGTCTCTTCTCCTTTCTGAAAGATGTGATGGCAATGAAACAATATTTGGAGGGCTCCCCAATATATGTAAACTGTGGCCTCCATGCCCAGAATGGGGAGGGTGGATTATAACAGAGGTTATAGGAATCAGGGATTCTGCCCGCAGCAAGCCATCTCTCTTACTCTGTCAACTTCAAAATTGTGAACTTATCTCCAAATGTCCTCAGAGACCTCTGTTTTTTATTTTCACATACTCTTTCTTTTTTGGTGAAGCCGATGATTATTCCCTCAAAATGTAAATTTTCACATACAAGTTGATAATATTTCATTTGTAGGAAAGATACCTCCAAGCATTATTTTATTTCTCAGTGTGACAATAAAATATTAAGTTCATTTTCTCAAGAGCATTTTTTCTCTTAAGGCTTTAGATATACAATAAAGCTTTTGCTGCATTCTGTTGCAGCAATTTGAAAACCAAGATTGTGTATAGCTAAATGTGCTTTTTCATGCTTTTGGTATAACATTACATATACAACTTTCTATTTTACTCACATATAGTAGCAAAAGAACTGACATTGAAACCAAAAGATGCTATATTAAATCCTAGCTGAGTGACCTTGTAAAAGTCCTTGTAAATGATCTTGCTTATCAGGGTACTTCCCTGAAAGAAAATTGGTATAAAAATTGCAATACATAAAATATATAAAACGACATTCTCTCCCTTTTGTATTTCTATTCTATAAATATTGTTTACTCACCTATATAGACAATCTTATTTTAAATGCCACTTTCACAGATAAGTATTGTTTTGGGAGTTGCCCTCTTAGTGACTAACAGTCAGGGAGAATATCTGGTTGACTTGAAAAACTGAAGGGAAATGGTAAAGCAAGAATTCTCTCCTGGCTGCACAGTTCTTTTATAATGTTGTCCTATGAATGACTCATATGAAAACAGGAAATGTATAGATGCATTACAAAAATTCTTAAACAGAATATGTTATATTAGTGGAAGCTACCATATGATTGAAACTGGAGTTAATTTTAACTCTAATTGCAACTCTAGGACTAGCTTCAATTGTTTATTATTTCATTTTGTCTAACCATATAATTATGTCTAATTTGACTTCAGTTTTATTTATGAGTCTTTCTCATTTCGCCTATCCAAACTTTGACTAAATTTTGTCTTTAGCTAAATGATTATCTGCATAAAGGGTAGAAAATACCAAGATTATTCAAGATAACTTTTGAGCTAGTTAGGAATTTTTGATCTGGAATTTAACCCTTTGGTATAACATGGAACACATTTTAGAAAATAAAATCTCAGTGATATGAATTGTGAGTTGATGTGATATGGGAGATAAAATGTAAGAGAACTCAGTTACTGTGCCAGGTACAATACCTGGACTTTTCACACAGAGCTCCTCAAAACTGAGTAGATATTCTAAGATGTAAATACCAGTGACCTTTGAGTCAGATGAGTGTGTCATTTTCTCAAAGGTACTTTAATAAATCATAAAATAATTTCACTTTTTTATAAAACATCAATATATTGAAACTTACCTTGAGTTTGTGCAATAAGCCAGAGTACAGAGAAGAGGAGGACAGGCATGTTGGCTACAGCATACAGTGGAGAGAGCCCACGCCGGGGAAGATGTGCTACCCAGGGCTGTTCGGTTTTATTCTTCCCCAACTTCTCTTTATAAACTTAAGGCAAAATACAAACCTCAACCCTCCCTTGTGTGCAACTGAGGACTATTTTCTAATAGCACTGGGAAACTGCCAAGAAATTGCAGTATCAAATCATGGGAATGTTCCTCATTCAAGAGGGGTGTTTATCTCTGTGGTGACAACTTGGTAAAGAATCACATGTGGACAGCTGTGTGGCCTTCGTGCTTCTCAGCAACCCTATGCACTGATCTATAAATTTAGAAAATTGTTCAGTAATGTGTGCCGCTTTTGAGAAATTGGCACAAAGAGAACATAATCTGTTGAACAAGTAAAAACCTTACAAGTTAACATATTATGGTTCTCTCTGACCTCAACCTATTTGCCTGTGAAAAAGGGTTTGATGGTTAAGAATTACCTGAGACCCTCCCTAGTGGCGCAGCAGGTTAAGGCACAGCACTGCAAGCCGGCCACAGCTGCTGCCCTGCAAGTTCCATCCCCGCCCTGGAGGTGACCCACATGGCGCAGCAGACCTCTCCTGTCTTATCCACTGCCCCCTCGGCAGTGCACTTAGTTGACCTGTGTGTTCTGCTCCCCACTCTGTCTCTGCTGAACCCTCTCACCACCCATGTATCTCTGGCCTATCCCCAGTTCTCTATGCATAAATAAATAAATCTTTCCCAAAATTACCTTAAGTTTTTTGTAAAATTCGTATTAGGTAACACAGGTACACACACACACACACACACACACACACACACTGAAAAAAAAGTGAAAATGTAATTTTTCTTGACAATGTTAGTCTCAATCAGATTATCCACTTTTGAAGTATTTTTGAAGTGTGTAATGATATATCTTCATGGAGATGAATACCAAAACAGTAAGTCAAGGAAAATGTGTTGATCACCAATGGCCCAACATCAAAAATTGTTCATATTTTGACAACTTATTCTTATCTTTCTTTGGACTAATAAAATATTTTAGTTCTTGTTATATAAAGTGGCCCTTTCTCTCCCTCCATCCCTCTTTACCTCAGAAATCTCACTTCATTTACCTTTGTGTGATCATTTTTTTAAAAAGATTTATTTATTTGTGCATACAGAACTGGGGTATAGGCCAGAGATGCAGGGGTGGTGAGAGGATTCACCAGAGACAGCAGGGAGCTGAACAGGCAGATAAACGAAGCGCACTGCTGAGGGGAGCAGCGGGCAGGTCAGGAGAGGTCTGCAGCGCCATGTGGTCACCTCCGGGGCACGCGGGGATCGAACTCATGCAGATGTGGCTTTAGCTTCTTAGTGTCGTGCTTTAACCTGCTGCGCCACCAGGGAGGGCCCCGATGTGATCATTTTTTCTATGTACTTTGTTAAATATCTGCTATGAAAATATCTGATACTTTTCTGTCTTCCTGTTTTACTATACAAAATTCTGGCTCTAATAGCAGCATTTTCTCTCTCCTATGGCTGGCTAGTATTCCAGTTTGGCCATCTTGTCTTTTGGAGCCAGTCTTCTATCAGGGGGCATTTAGGTTGCTTCCATGTTCCAGTACAAACAGCTGTAACAACATTGCAGAACTTAAGTTTTTTTGAGTTGCTAGTTGCACATTCATTGGATAGATTCTGGCTCATATATAATTTCCACTTTTACTATTTTCAATGTAAATAAAATTTACATTAAAATTTCCATATTGACTGTGCCAGTTTAAGGAGTGTAACAGGGTTGTTTTTTCTCTATACTCTTCAGCATTTGTTATGTGGAGACATTTTTTTTT